CCTTCCTCAGGCGATACTTATTCTTTTCTGCCCTCTGTTTTAGCTCTATTTCTGATATTCTCAACAATTTAAATTTGCCAGCTACCACAGCAGCTCTGGTCCAATAATCCCATTTTACTAAAACAAGTAATAGGAAAGAGAGTATGGAAAGGGTCAGAAATCAATCTTCAGGCATAGCAGATAAGGGGACAACAATGAGAAGGGGAGCAGTCAATGCAGGACTGAGGGTGTTGTACTTAAATGCGCACAGTATATGAAACAAAGTAAATGAGCTTGTCGCACAGATTGAAAGTTGTGGGTATCACTGAGATGTGGCTGCAAGGGGATCAGGGTTGGGAAGTAAACATGCAAGGATACATGTCCCATTGAGAGGACAGGCACATGGGCAAAGTGTTGCCTTGTTAGTAAGAAATTAAATCAATAGAAAGAAGTGAAATAGAGTCAGAAGACATAGAATCTGTGTGGGTAGAGTTGAGGAGTCATAAACAAAGAAAGACCCTGATGAGAGTTGCGTACAGGCCTTCTGGTAGTAGTCAGGATGTGGGGAAGAAAATAAATTAGGAGATCAAAAAGGCATGTAAAAAAGGCTCTATTACAATCATCATGGGGAACTTCAGTATGCAGGTGGACTGGGAAAATCAGGTTGGTAGCAGATCTCAAGAAAAGAATGTCTATGAGATGGTTTGGTTTTGGAGCAGCTTGTGGTAGAGCCCACAAGGGAATAGACAATTCTGGATTTCATGATGCACAATGAGACAGACTTAATTAGGTTGCTTAAGGTGAAGAAACCCTGAGGAGGCAGTAGCTATAACATGTTAGAATGAACCCTGCAGTTTGAGAAGGAAAAGCTGGAATCAGATATGAAGGTACCAATTGAGTAAAGGTAACTACAAAGGCATGAGGGAGGAGCTGGCCAGAGTTGATTGGAAGGGTAGCTTAGCAGGGAAGATGATGGAGCAGCAAGGGCAGGGGTATCTGGGGTTAATGGAAGAGGCACAGCAGAAATTCATCCCAAGGAAGAAGAAACATACTGCGGGGAGGACGAGACAACCATGGCTGACAAGTGAAGTCAAGCACAGCATAAAAGCAAAAAAAAAGCATACAATGTGGTGAAGATCAGTGGAAAGCCAGAGGATTCGGAAGCCTTTAAAAACAGCAGAGGATAGCTAAAAAAAAAAAGCAATGGAGGAGGGGAGAAGATGAAATATGAGAGTAGACTAGCTAGTAATATAAAAAAAAGTTTCAAGAATTTTTTAAATATCTAAAACGTAATAGAGAGGCAAAAGTGGATGTTGGCCAACTAGAAAATGAGGCAGGAGAAGTGGCAATGGGGAACAAAGAAATGGTGGACGAATTACATAGGTACTTTGCATCAGTTTTCACAATGGAAGACACCAACCACATACCAGAATTCCAGGACAGTCAGAGGGATGAAGTGAGTGTAGTAGCCATCACTAAGGTGCTGTGAATCTGAAAGCTGGATAATTCCCCCAGGATTAGATGGACTGTACCCCAGAGTTATAAAGGAGATAGCTGAGGAGATTGTAGAGACTTTGGTAGTGATCTTTTAGGGATCACTAGAGTTAGGGAGGGTGCCAAAGGACAGGAAAATGGTTAAATGTAACACCCTTGTTTAAGAAGGGAGTGAGGCAAAACTATAGGCCAGTTAGCCTGACCTTGATTGTTGATACGATTTTAGAGTGCATTATTAAGGATAAGATTGTGGAGTACTTGGAAGTGCCTAGTACTGGGGTGGAGTCAGCTTGATTCGCCAACAGGAAGTATACCTGATAAACCTGTTAGAATTCTTTGAGGAGGTGACAAGCAAGTTAGGCAAAGGCAAGCCAGTGGCTGTGATGTATTTGGATTTCCAGAGGACTTTTGACAAGGTGTTGCACAGAAGGCTGCTAAATAACATAAGACCCCATGGTGTTAGAGGCAAGGTACTAGCCTGAATAGAGGATTGACTGACTGGCAGAAGGTGGAGAGTGGGGATAAAGGGTTCTTTTTCAGGATGGCAATAATGATCTAGACAAAGGAACTGAGGGCATTATTGCTAGGTTTGCAGATGAAACAAAGATGGGTGAAGGGACAGGCGATGTTGAGGGGACAGGAAAGCTGCAGAAGAATTTGGATAGGCCAGGAAAGTAGGCAAAGAAGTGGCCAATGGAATATAATGTGGGAAAGTGTGAGGCTACGCACTTTGGTAGGAAGAATGGAGATGTAGACTATTTTCTAAATGAGGAAAGGCTTTTGAAATCTGAAATACAAAGGGACTTGGGAGCCCTGGTGCAGGATTCTGTTTAGGTTAACATGTAGATTCAGTTGGCAGTTAGGAAGGCAAGTACAATGTTAGCATTCATTTCAAGAAGGCTAAAATACAAGAGCAGAGATGTACTGCTAAGGCTGTATAAGGCTCTGGTGAAACCACATTTGGAATATTGTGAGGAGTTTGGGGCCCCATATTGAAGGAAGGATGTGCTGACCTTAGAGGGAGTCCACAAGAATGACCCCGGGAATTAAGGGCTTATCATATAAGGAGTGGTTGGGGACTCTGGGTCTGTACTTGCTGGAGTTTAGCAGAATAAGGGCGGATCTGATTGAAACTTACAGAATACTGAGAAGCCTGGATAGAGTGAATGTGAAGATATTTCCACTAGTAGGAGGGACAAGTACCTGATGGCACACCCTCAGAGGGAAGGAACAACCCTTTGGAACTGAGGTGAGGAGGAATTATTTCAACCAGAGGGTGGTTAATATATGGAACTCATTGCCACAGAGGGCTGTGGAGGCCAAGTCATTGAGTGTATTTGAGACTGAGATATATAGATTCTTGATTGATAAAAGAATCAAGGGTTATGGGGAGAAGGCAGGAGAAAGGAGTTGAGAAACATATCAGCCCTGATTGAAAAATGGAGCAGAATTCAATGGGCCAAATGGCCTAATTCTGCTCCTATGTTCTTATAATCTTATGATGTAAGGCAAAAATAGTGTTGGCTGCTTTTGAGAGGTGTTTAGTTGTTGAAACAAAATGAAACATGCAATAGATCTTTTAATATGTATGAAGAGGAAACACAGATCAGCTTGCATTCTGAGAAAAATTCTACACCTAAAGCACCAAGGTTGCCTTTCTCTCTATAGATCCTGATTGCTCCATATTTAAAAAAATTTGTTCATGGGCTGTGAGTATTGTTGACTGAACCAGCATTTATTGATCATTCATAAGTGCCTTTAAGAAGGTACTGAGGGTAACCTTGAACCACTGTATTCCATGCAGCATACGTGCTATTTGTGCAGGAATTTTAGAGGAATGTTGCTTGGATATACTCTGTTTATATTTCAACTTGATAGTACCTACAGTTTTATTTCTTTTCCTTTTGATTTGTATGAGTTTGGATTTCTTGTTGTTCAGATTTGACAGACAGGATCATCTTCCATAAATCTTAAACTGAACACTAGTTAAAAAAATGTTACTTTACTCATGAAAATAAACACAGGTCCGTATGAAAAGGTGAATTGAAAGTGATAGATGAAAACTGCAAATTTCAAATTAATACCTTTACAGCTGCATTTATTGGGGGATGAATTTGAGTTGTCTGCATGGGTTTGAAAGCCAAGCACGTTACTAAGCAATGAAAACTGGGCACTTTTTAAAAAACAGTGACCTACCATGATGTATTCAAGAAGAGTCAAGTCATATTCAGGCTACTCCTGAATTCATCACATTAGAGTCTTGTGGTTGTTTAATAGCAGAAACATTAATGGTATGGTGAAAACATCATAATAAATGCATGCATATTTGAAAGTTGTATAGACAATCTCACCTCTTGTGTGCGTCTGGAACAATTTTTTATGAGATGCAGTATATATATGACACCTCCAACTTGCATCTGAAAATAGTGTTAAGACTGTATCTCTTAATGTTTTTGAATTTTTGATGGTGGACTGAAATGGGAAAAGAACTGTTTTAAAAGCTGGGGGTCACTGCATTTTTTCTAAAGTAAGTTGCCTGACACTCATTGTAAATGATGTTTACACAGCAGTTCATTCAAGCAATGGGGAAAGCCTAGTTACAGATAAGATGAAGTCAGGGGACTGCGTATGAATGGAGGTTTTGCTGATGGCAAGTAACTGATTGGCCTGTGAAATGGTGACCAGTTATTAATGACAAAGGCCTCCTGTCTGCGAACAACAATATGGTTGGCTCCCAGGTAGCTGAACAGCTTGTGGTATCACTGTTTGGGGCAGAAGCTATGGATTTCTGGAAGAACAGCTGCTTCTGCTCTTTCATGAAAGGCGTCTAAAACCCGAAGAAAGCCAGTTTATTTCCCCTCGTCAGCTGCTGTAAGCTGTGATTTTTAACTACTTAGTCAAGATCTTTATAACTGTGAAATTCTGTGCCTGCTGCAAACATGCGAAAATACTGGAGAAGGACAATTGAGAAGCAGCATTCTGATCAGCAGAAGGATCCACCTCAACAAATGCTGTGGACAGGGACCTCTGAATTACCTTCTTAACTCTTCACTCTGGCCATAACACATTTTTTTTTCATGTCTGTCTGTATGTATGTGTAGGGAGGAGTTTATAAGTGCATTAGTGTTTTAACTAGTAAAGTTGTATATCAATGGTTCATAATTATTTATTTGTAGTCAGAATCTATTACCATGTAGATAAAAAGTAATTCTTACAAAGTACAGAAATCTAGTCCATTTCAACCTGTACACAAAAAAAAACAAGTGAACTGGGGAATTCTGCGTAGTTTGTAAAATCTTTAACTCTTGTAATGACTCCAAGAACAGTGGGACTAGATTTCCAGCATACCACCCCAGTGAAGCATAACTATAGTTTTAACACTGTTTCTCTCAGTACAGACTATTATTTGTAAATTGACAGAATCCTATAAATTAAGATATAAAATGCTGACATTCATTGTCTTTTCCACTGAATTTTATTACTTTTAAACATCATATGTTTATGTTTACTAATTTTTTTTGTTTTAGATCACAGTGGATGAAATTGGTGCATTTACTTCTGTCAAGTTGCCAATCATCTTTGCACCTTTAATCCCTGGTGAAACACAAATGGATTTTGAATTAGTATTTTCTGATCCAGCATCCAAAAGTGTAAGTCTTATTCCTAGTTAGTTGATTACATTAATAAGTAAGCCTTAAATTTGAAAAGCCATTATGAGGAAGATGAAATAACTGCACAGAGGCTGATATCCTATCACTAAATCACCCTTTATTTACACATAAATAGTCCTTGACTTTAGTACCACATCATACAGAGTCAGGCACCAGAGTTTCAGTATCTCTGACACTCAGTCTTTTTATGTGTCAGCCAGGGCTTCCCGCTTGGACCAGATTAACAGCCCCAATCAGGGAACTCATATTCTATAAGCTCCAGCTTGCTGACTTCATTACAATCACTTAGGAGAAACAGCAGATTGCCAAAGTAAGTAACACAGAGGGGGCACGTACATTTTGATGGAAACAGGAGTAGGCTGGTCAATCTATTAAGCCTGTTCTTTATTTAATATAATCAATGCCTTTCACCCAATGCCTTTTACTTATACTATCTCCTTAATCCTTTACATCATAGATAATCAGAAATCTCTCAACATCTACTTTAATTATGCTCAAAGACTAAACTTCCACAGTCTTCTGGGGTAGAGAATTCCAAGGACTCACACACCTCTGAGTAAACAAATTTCTCCTCACTTCGGTCCTAAGTAGTTAAATTGTGCCCCTAATCTAGACTCTCAGTTAAGGGAAACTCCTTAATCCTTGCCAGTGCATCACCTTCTATCCCATGTTCTTTAACTTTGTTTTCAACTGCCTGTGAAAATTTTATCAAAAGCCTTCTGAAAATCCAAGTAGTAAAATCCTCAAAAAACTCTAACAAGTTTATCAAACATGATTTCCTATTCACAAATCCATGTTGACTATGATCAAACAGATCATTTTTACCCACTGCCTATTTATCACACTCCTTATGATACTACTACTGATGTAAGGCTGACAAGTCTGTAGTTTCCTATTTTCTTTCTTCGCTCTTTCTTAAATAATGGAGTGACACTAGCTAGCTTCCAATTTGCAGGAATTGTTTCAGAATCTATGGAATGTTTGTAAAGTCTAATGAATATGGGCTATTCGAAACAATCTCTCCTTGGAAGGACATCCCTGATATCAGTCCAATAAACCTCTGCCTCACTGCCTGTATAGCAATTATATCCTTACTTAGGTAGCAAGATCAAAACTGCAAGCAGTACTCCAGCTGTGGTCTCACCAAGACCCTGTATAACTGCACTGAGACTTCTGAATGCAAATCCTCTTGCAATGAAAACCAATATTCCTTTCTTGTTCCTAATTGTTTGCTGCATCTGCCTGTCTATGTTCATAGACTGGTGTACAAGGCCGCCCATATCATTTTGCACATCACACTTACCAATATATCGCCATTAAAATAATATTCTTCCTCTCTGTTTATCATTCTAAGGTGTATATCTTCACACTTAACCATATTGTACTGCATCTGCTACATATTTGCCCACTCACTCTACTTGTCCGATTCACCTTGAAGCTTCATTGCATCGTCCTTCCAACTCACAATCCCACTAAATTTTGTGTCAAAAGCAAATTTGGGAATATTGCATTTGATTCTGTCATCCAGATGATTTAATATATATTGTGAATAGCTGAGGCCCAAGCAGTGATCCTTACGGTACCCCCGCAAGTTGCTGCCTGCCACTCAGTGGGAAACATTTTTTCCCTCTCTCTTTCCTTTCTGTAAACCTGTTCTCAATCCATGCCAATATATTACCCATTATCCTATGTGCTTTAACTTTACCCTGTAACCTCTTAAAAGGATTTTATCAAAGCCTTCTGAAAATCTAAATATACCACATCCACTGGTTCTCCCTTATCTATTCTACTTGTTACATCCTCAAAAAACTCTAGTAGAATTGTTAAGCTTGATTTGCTTTTCATAAAGCCATGCTGGCTTTGTGCAGCCCCATTAATGGCTTTCCAAACATTCTGTTTTCACATCCCTTATACCAGATTCTAACATTTCCCCAGTGCTGAAGTTAGACTAATTGGTGTGTAATTCTTGATTTTTTTTCTCTCCGTCTCTTTTTAAATAGTGGGGTTACAATTTTTAGCAACTGCTGCAGAGTCTATGGAATTTTAGAAGATGACCATTAATGTATTCAGTATTTCCAGGACCACTTCCTTTTGTACTCTGGGACGTAGATGATCAAGCCTTAGGGATTTGTCAGCCTTTAATCCCATTAATTTTCAGTACCATTTTCTTACTAAGACTGTTTCTTTCAGTTCTACCCTCTGACTAGATCTTTGGTTCCCTAGCATTTCCAAAAGGCTTTAGTGCCATTTTGTGAAGACAGAACCAAAGTATGTGTTCAATTCTTCCACCGTTTCTTTCTTTTCCATTATAATTTCCCCAGCTTCTGACTGTAAGGGATCTAAATTTGCCTTCACTAATCTTTTCCTTCTTACATATCCACTGAAGCTGTTACAGTCAGTTTCTATATTCTCTGCAATTTTACTTTCATACTCTATTTTCCCCCTCTTGATCAATCTTTTTGTCCTCTTTTGCTGCAGTAACCTGAAATGTAAAGGCCCAGAATCACAGACAGCCTGATCGGGGGGTGTGCAGGAGAATGAGCATGAGGGAGCAGGGGAAGTGGAGCCCAGGTCTGGCAGGGGAAAGGGTGAAGGCAGTGGGTCTGAAACAGGGCATGGTGGGGCGCCAGGTGTGGTTCTAAGTGTTCTGGACCTGCAGCCCACCCCACCTTGCCCTGCTATTTCTGAGTTCTACCCAAACATATTCCATGTATTGTTCTTCTGATCTGAAATCCTCCCTTACTACTGTATTGATCCCATCTCGTGTTATCAGCACAACTCCACCTCCATTTTCGTTTAGTCTGTCCTTCCTAAACATTGAATATCTTTGAATATTTGTTTCCCAGACCTCATGACCATGCTGTCAAATTTCTGTAATGGCAATTATACCTTTACCATTTACTTCTATTTGTACCTTTACATAAACTATCTTGTTGTGAACAGTAGAGTACCCTCAACTTTGTATTTTTGACATTATTCTGTATTTGAGGCATATTTGATGTAGCCTCTCTCCAACTTCATAAACTTTAAGATAAAAAGACAGACTATGGACTCAGGCCATCTTTGTGAAGGGGGATCCAATCCACCTAGTAGTCTGTGGCTCCAGCTGAAGCTGTGTGGATATGGAGGGCTTCAAAGCCTTTCTGGAATACTTTATCCCTTACCATTCCACCCACCCCAAAAGAAGCATGCAGCTTCCAGTCTGTGATTACATTCTTCAATAGTTAGTTTCTAAATACACTCCTTCCAGACAAGAAGTAACCAAACAATGGTTTTAAACAGAAATACTCAGATAAACACAGCGTACATTTAGCTGCCAAAAATCACAATATGGCATAGCAAAATTAGCTGGTACCCATGATATTACACTTTTGTCTTTAGTCATGGTGCACTGCGCTGGCAATACATATTGGAAAATCATACATATTACACAATGTTCTCTTCATTATGGACATTGGTCCTTGATTTTGCAATATTTACTCTTACATATGAGGCATTAGCTAAAATTTTACCCCATTTAATTTTATAATTTTATTTTATTCTGTTCTCCATGTTCTCACAAACAAAACCTTAGCATTAAAAATACAGCAAACTACTAGCGTGTAAAAATATTCAGAAGTACTAATATTCGAACAATACTCAGAATAGATTCCACGTTAATGTATTTTTGAGTAAGACTCCAATTGAGGACCTGAAGTTTTTGGGGCTTCTCCTGCTGCAGTTTTGACATCTTAGAAGAAGCTCGGTGAAATCTGTGCCAGAGTAATCTATTCATTGAGGAATTTTGTCCCCTCAACATAGAGAATAATTGTCTAATAACTGGACCCAAAACAATCACCAGACTATCCTATGCATTATTTTCTGATATAAACATCAAGACCTTTTTCATGGGATGTGGATCTTTATTGCCCAAACCTGTTTGGCCTTGAAAAGGTGGCAGTGAGCAATCTTCTTAAACCACTTCAGTCCATCTCTTGCAGCTACATTCTCAGAGCTGCAGTGAAGGGAGTTTCAGGACACTGTCAGTCACACATTCTTCTTCCAATCCTGTTGCATCTGAATGAAAACCAAAAGAACTACGGATGCTGTAAATCAGGAGCAAAAACAAAGTTGCTGGAAAAGCTCAGCAGGTCTGGCAGCATCTGTGAAGGAGAAAACAGAATTAACTCAGTCCTGAGGAAGGGTCACCAGACCCAAAACGTTAACTCTGTTTTCGCCTTCACAGATGCTGCCAGACCTCCTGAGCTTTTCCAGCAACTTTGTTTTTGTTCCTGTTGCATCTGAGTTTCTCGCCACCAAATATTTCCACCTGCTCTTCGGTTTTTTTCTTGGCCATTTTACCTCCATCACCATGTGTGCTCTGTTTGTCCACCACAGATGATCACACCACTTCAGTTTATTCCCACCTACTTTCTTTGACGCTGTCACAATCTTCACTGACCCCTTATGTACTGCTTATGTTATGAAATGTAAAACTAAATTCAAATGTATTTATTACCGCAGATGGAGATAAATGTAAGATCCATTGGTGAATCACATTTCTAAGGTGGCAACATGGTGACTCAGTGGTTAGCACTGCTGCCTCACATCACCAGGGACCTGGGTTCAATTCCCCCACCAGGTGACTGTCTGCGTGGAGTTTGCACATTCTCCCTGTGTCTGCATCTGTTTCCTCCGGGTGCTCTGATATCCTTCCACAGTCCAAAGATGTGCAGGCTAGGTGGATTGACCATGCTAAATTGCCCATAGTGTTCAGTGTTCATGATATGTAGATTAGGTGGGTTATAGCGGTATGGGTCTGGGTGGGACTCTCTGAGGGTCGGTGTGGACTTGCTGGGTTGAAGGGCCTGTTTCCACACTGTAGGGATTCTATGAAGGTGCTTTCTTTCCATTGCTCCTGAGAAGTTGATTAATGACAACATTGCACAATTCTTTTGTATAATTGATAAAATTTACTCGATTGTAAAGATATGTAGGTTCTCTCATTCCATTTTGCTGGCAGATTATGGGCATCCATTTCTCATATCCCAGTATGCATGTAACTGTGACTTTAATTAGAAGGGTCGGTGAATCCTTTGTGCTGCTTCTACCATTCATATTTCCTTCACAAGCCACTCAGCCTTGATCAATTTACTTCTCGCTTCTACAGGGCAGGCTGAAGACTCTCATCTTATGTTGGTACAATTCCAACACCAGCTGTTATTCAGTACACAAGATGTATCAGGGTCATCAGGCAACCCTTCAGTGTCACAGAAAAAGGTTATAAAAGATATGACTTGCAAAAAATTACAAAACAATTTTTTTTCTGATTTGGGGTTGTTCTACTCTGCTTTTATTTGTTGCAAAGCAATAACTCTCTTGGAATTGTTGCAATTTTTAAACTAAGCACAGCAGGTTATACGGATTAGCGCTGACAATTTATTTTTTCCTACTTCTAAAAATAGATATCCATTAAGGCACAAGGAAAGGGTGTTGACGTACCAGTCTGGCTATCAAATCCTAATATAGACCTGAAAATCTGCATGTACGACCGGCTTTACCAAGACTCTATTTGTGCTTACAGTAGGTAAGCTGATATGAAAAAATGATCCTTTATGGTAGAGTGGATTTGATGTAAAGAGACAAGAGGTGAAATACATAGTCAGCAAGCAACTGTTTCTCATTCAGACACATTTTCTGAGAACCATGCCTTGTGAAGGTCATTTTATGCTGAGTAGCTTTCTCAAAAATATTATATATCTACAGTAGCCTTTTTCCTTCCACATTTCCAATGCTTTCCTTAGCATTACAGTTGCTTGTTGTGATTCTTAGGAAAGAACATTTTAAGCAAAGAAATAATAAATTGATTTTGATTTTCTAAAATCCTGAAAGTATAGTAATTTATTCATTTTGGTGTGCTGGTAAAAGCTTGTTTTGGAATTACGAAATAGAATGCAGACTTATTACAGAGTGCTGCATTGGCAGTACTTATTCCATTCTGAACATATACAATATTACAATGTGCAACAATGCTCAAATAATATGATGGATGCAAAACATAAAATATCTTAAAATTTGCAGATGTTATGCACTTGTCCAAACTACACATACACAATACCTTTCATTTTGTTCCTCACAAAAAGATCCACAAAACTTACTGATACAAAATTAATAATGTTCCAGGAGTTCATAACCAGCCTCTTGATGCGTATGCCTGATTATATAGACATTTTGCCTTTAAATACAAGAATTTCATTTGGTCCCATGTTGTTATTCTTTCCACTGTTTTTCATTACAGTGAATATGTGTAATTTTTCTACTGATAATCAACTATCTTTTAAGTAGCATCCATAACTTATTCTATATTGTTATTTAAATAATTCCTCTTTGATTCCTGCTGTTTCTTCCCAGCAGTTGATGTAATAATTCAACAGATTTGCCTAAACTTTTGCATACTTTTGGGAATACCCTTCCTAAATAGAAATGGCACTGTAAGCCGACATTATAAATAATCCCAGGACTTGAAGGTGCACAGAAAGAAACATGATCTTTTTTGTAAGTTTTGATACTATATTTGCACAGTTCACAATTGGATTAACAAACTGTACTGCATTTCTAGTACTCCGATATTTGTTAGCCCCAAGAGAAACAGTAAAGGATAATTGTTTTAGAGCTGCTTGTAACTGCCTGCTATGCTTTCATTATGATTGACAGAATTACATTCTCAGGCAGCACATGCTAAAAATTACAGTGTAATAACTTAGGAAGTCTGACTAGAAAAGGAACATGATTTATTGTTGAACACCAAAATCATGACTCACAAAGGCTAGTTGCAGCTCAGGACAGTCAGTTCTGCAGTCCCATCTCTGGGTCTGCTTTAATTTTCTTGTTTAACCTATTTTTCCTAATCAACATGTTTAGAGATGTTATTACAAACCTCAGGAGCAGGTGAGGACTTGAAACCAGGCCTCCCAGTCCAAGGATGTGGACACTACCAATTCGGCACAAGAGAGTCCCATGGATTTGCTTCCTATTTCTTTTTGGTCAGAAATCACATGACACCAAGTTAACAGATTTATTTGAAAACACAAGCTTTCAGAGTTTTACTCTTTTAGGTGTTAGTGAGAGAGGTAGTAACAGACACAGAATTTATAAGTAAAAGATCAAAGGGTCACACCACTTAGAAGGCTTTAATTGGTTAATATGTAAATGTAATTCCCCAAATTCCTTTGAAGTCACTGTCCTGAGAAAACTAAAGGTTTTATCAGTATAAAGAAAAAGTGAAATTTTAGGTCAGACAATGTATGTTAGGTGTGAGGCCTTGTTTAGAATCTGTTTGTGTTTTGGTTTGGAGTTAGCAGGTTTTATTTCTAAAGTAGGAATTTATAAAACGCTGCATTGACTGACTATCTATAAATTGTGTGCTTTTTGAACAAAATAGAATGTATCCGCAAATACAAATTCACCCCATGGACTCGTGTGTGTGTGTGTGTGTGTGTGTGTGTGTCACAGTGTATAGTGTGGTGGGTTCATCTCTAGTGCGACATGAACCCAAGATCCTGGTTGAGGCCATCATCATGGGTTTCAAACTTGGCAATCAGCCTCTGCTCGGCGACTCTGCATTGTTGTGAATCTGAAGTCTCCCTTGGAGGACATTTACCCAAAGATCTGAGATAATGTCCTTGACTGCTCAATTATGGGATAAATTCCATATCCAGTGACTTATTTCTCAGTATTATTTGTACATTTACTGGTTGATAAACTAGTAAAATACCAAATTTATCATTTCCAATTACCAAAATTCATTAGTAACATAAACATCTTTACAAAAAGAAAGGTTACATATGTTTTCTGCTATATATTAAGAAATCTCACAGACAGTCAAGTACTGATACAATTGTTTAAAACTTACTGCAAGTATCACAACCCGACTTGACTATTACCCAATTAATGATATAACTTGGCCATGATTCCACTAATAGTGACTGTCTCTGCAAGTATCCATGGTTCAATCCTTACATAGTGTTGTTCTTCGAAGCTCTGCCACTGACTTATTCTGGTGTTGGATTCTTATTCTAATTTCTCTTTCTAAAAGTTTATAGTGTGACATTTCTGATGATTCTTTTATCTCCTATTTTGGTTAGCCACTCTAGAGACCTCAAGTCTATAGTTTGCCTTTGTATCAGAAGTAGCTTGTTATATTCAGGAAAGACTGTCTGTTTAAAATACAGCTTTTCCTGCAATTAACCCTTTTACTTCAGAACATTAAGTCTGCCTACAAAAGCAATTGCCCATTTGTCATGAGGCAGCAGGTTATCAAACGGTTGCTATCTTCTCTCTACCAGGAAACAGCTTGTTTATGTTGTTTCTTCCAGTGATGGTTAATTTGCATGTTGCTTTTAATTCCTTGATAACAATTTCTCCAATTTCCTGTCATCTCGAGAAACAGTTTATTCCAGAATGTTATTGCTGAATCTTTCAATGCATGAAGTTATTAAAGTTGTGAAGTTTACATTGTCACACATAAACTTCTCTTTTAAAGGTTGAATATAAATAGGTAGATATGGCAAAAATATTTTGAAGCAACTCTTTCCCAAAAGTCATGAGAAAGAAGATAACATCCAATAAATTATTTGAGATTTTTTTCACAAATGAAACCATAAAAACAAATCATCACTACGTACTATGGTTACTAACTTAAAATGCAGATGAATTTCCCTGTGTTTGTTGGTGACCAGTAACTTCCTGATAATGAAAGTAAGATTAGTTAAATAATATTTTCTCCAGGCTGGGTCTGCTTGACAAAGAGCTCAGGTAATGAGTAAGGAAATTAATTAGTGATTCCCCACGGACCTTGTAAGGGTTATCGCATGTGGGTTTTCACCAAAAAATTCATGAGGCTTTTTAATTTTTACATTAATTCTGTACTTCTTCAAACTTCCAAAAAAAGTACAATGACAATGGCTTTATGATTATTCCGCATAATTTGTGATAGACATAGTATAAACCAGATTCATTAAATATTATTATTGCCACTTCAGTGAATATTTCAGAAAATGGCATTTTCCCCCTTTGTGAAATGTACAGGATTTGCAAAAAAAAACTCACTGCGAATAACAAAATTCTTGCTTAGAAATTCGTTGTTGGAGGTTTTCAGAAATGGGTCCAGGCAGAGTGGAACATCAAGTGTCAGTATTAAACCCACTTTTGGTGGGGATGTAAATATAAGGCAGTATTTTCTTTTTCATATCAGAACTCTGACATCAAGACATTACTGGACCCAGCCTGCACTCCTTGGGAGCAATCAGCTAAAATTGATTTTTGCAGCATTGGTCAATAAGTGGCCAGAGGACTCGTTGGCAATTTAAAGATGGCAGGTGGGTTCCTGAGGCTGGAAGACCAATGAAAGATTCTCCAGCAGACACCACAGTGATTCCACCATCTGGATTAGGAGCTGCTGATGCCTGCAGAGAAACAGAAAGAGGGAGAGATGCCTCAAAATGGCGATACAAGGCAACCCCTTCACTGGAAGGACAGTGGCCACATCCATGCCCACTGAGTGCAGGGTGAGAGGTCCCTAGTAAGATGGTAACCTACTTCCAGCTGGAGACCACTGTGTTTAACTGATTGCACTTCAGCTGCTATGTGAGGCTTGCTGCTGAATGGAAAAATCCAGTTGATGTGACCAAGAGGCCTTAATGCGCCCCCATATCATCTTAATTGCCTACATACTGCTTTCAGGGGGATGCTCAAAACGATTTGGGGATGGAATTGTGCCAGCAAACTGACATACCAGCCAGAAGCACAAAGTGATGCCTCTCAGTTCCTCCCTGCAAATGATGAAACATCAGGCCCGGACACAAGACAAAACTGAATTTAAAAACTTAACAATACCTCCATTTCCGTTAGTGGCCAACATCTGTGATTGACTGATCATGTTTTAGAAGCATTTTCTAAAATTTCAAATGCCCTCCAACATCCTTCGATTTCCGAAAGACAAAACTATGCAGTAATCACTTATATCTGGTGTTAAACAAGGGCACAAATTACAGGAAGTGTAATGCATTATGGGTTATCTTCATTTGAATAGTATCATAAAATGTTCAGAATTTTTGATGCCTAAACAAGTAGCAGAGAGTTTGGTAAAACAAAGTATTTCACAATATTCTGCTCTGGCCTGCATACTCAACCTTGTTTTTGCAGCTCCTCAGTTGTCATTCTTCAGTCTCCAGTATGCAGTTGTTGTTTTTATTTCCTCTAGATTCACCACTAATGCTAATTTATATTTTTCTTCCAAATTCCTTTCAAGAAACAAGCATAAAACTTACAAATCATTGTATTTAAGTCGATTAATGATGTAAAAATATTCAGAATTCACAATGTCTCAAGCATCACTTCCATTAAATCATGCGTGTTTCATCTAATGTGAAACATCTTAAGTGAGCAGTTACAACTCATTCCCATCACAGTAAGAGTGAACAGCAGGTTCTTTCTTAAATAGGTCTTGGGAGCCTGACTAGATCATCCACTTTGTCTCAATTTATGTTTCTCTTTAATTTCTAGTCATTAAGAACATTATAAAATTACCACTATCCATTTTAGGATTTTTATAATCTAATGTCCACAGTTATTTCTATCAAAATGTACTGAAAATTTATAGAGTCAAAGCTAGGATTGCAATTATTGCCTAAGGTTGTCTGTGAAGAAAGTGACGATCCCTACACTTATGCCACTTCTAGTTTATGTGTATGTCTCTGTGTGTTTTGTCTTGAGGACAGCACACAAGCATACACATCAGGAGCAAGAATAGGCCATTCAATAAGATCATGGCTGATCCAGTTGTGGCCTCAACTCCATATTCTCACTCATTCCCTGATAACCTCTGGCTCCCCTTTTGGCCAAGAATTTATCTACCTCTGCCTTAAAAATATTTAATGACCCAGCCTGCACCACTCTGTGTACCTCAGAATTCTGCGAGTTGTCCATTGCAGTAAATGCTGTTTTTCTATTCTTCCTGCCAAGGTTGACAAGTTCACATTTTTCTCATTATATTTCATCCGCCAATTTTTTGCCCACTCACTTAACCCATTTATATCCCTTATTCCCTCTTCACAACCTCCTGTTCTGCCTACAAGGAGCAGGAAAGTCAATGTTTCGGGCCAAAACCCTTCATCAGGACTGGGGAGGGGAGGGGAGGGGAGCCCAGAAGTAAATAGAGGGAGCGGGGTGGGGCTGAGGGAAGGGTAGGTGGGATGGTGATAGGTGGATGCAGGTAGGGGGTTATTGTGATTAGTCAGTGGGAAGGGAGAAGTAGATAGGTGAGTAGGAAGATGGACAGGTTAAGTAAGATAAGGGAGGCGAGGAGAAGGAGAAGGGCTGGACATGGTATAAGACTTGGGGTGAGGGGACTTTGAAGCTGGTGAAGTCAATATTAAGGCCATTGGGCTGTAAGCTCCCACGGCAAAATATCAGGTGTTTTTCCTCCAGTTTAAGTTTGGCCTCATTCTGCACTCTGCACGCAACAACCAACCTGACCTTCCAGTTGCCATCCATTTTAATTCCTCCTCCTAATCCCCCGGTGACATGTCCATCCTTGTCAGAGTGAGGCCTCAATTTGCCTTGGCAACAATTACAGGCCTAAATGGCGAGCAGGAGGTTTGCCTGTACTTGTCTGTGACCCCTATCCACTGTCTCCACAACCCTACCCTATGAGAAGAAGAGAATAAAGTCTTACCATCTCCTTGCTGCTGAGTAGATCTCAACCAGCAGAATTTAGAACCCAAATGCTGCCAATCCCTGATTGATGGGCAAGGCGGGAGCCTTTATGTTTAGAAAGAAAATCTGAATTAAAAGCTACCCTAATGGCAATCATATAACAAATGTTAATTGTCATAAATTCATCATTACCCAGTCTGACCTACTTATCACCCCAGAGCCTCAGCAATGTGATTAACTCTTGCCTGCCCGTGGGCAATTCGGGAGAGACAATATATGCTGGCCTGGCCAGCCCATGAACAAATAAAAACAAATGGCTCTTGAAGGTGCAAGAATATAAACTGGCTTAGCAGATAGTATTTCTCCTTTGTCTCTACATCTACCTAATTGTTTCCAGTCATTTCTGTGATCAAAAACTCATGTGGCTCTGAACCAGGTATTGTTTCTCAGCTGATTTATCAAGTATGTACCAATGCTTCATTGCATTTATTTATATTCTATTTTATTAATGCTTTATTTCATCAGAGCAAGCGCAGCACTCCAGTTAAAATTTGAAGTGTGCTCCGAGTTGAGAAATCACTTGGAACTGCTACCAAAAACTGGTTACATCCAAGCGCATTCCAACTTTAGTTTTCAACTCAAATTTCTACCCAGGTAAGAGCTTCACTAAAACATTGATGAGCACAAAATCAGCAACAGAAACATTTAAAAATAACCATACCTAGGAATTTGCAGCATCAACACAGACAATAAATTAGCAGATGGACAACTTGTATTCGTATAAATTTTTGAAGATAGAAAATATGGTATATAAACAAATATAGAAGTGGAACTGAATTACAGTGCTAAGCCCAAAGACCTGGCTATGAATATGGGTTTTAAAAGAAATTGAAGATGGATTGAAGAACAGGAGAGTTCCAGATATGATTTATAGGTAGATTGTTGTGTTCCCAATGCTGGAGGCTGTGGGGTGGTTGTGGGGAACATAGAAAGGCAAAGTGAGAGGACTGGAGGATACAATGGATGGCATAAAATATAATGACAAAGGATTGGGTGAAATCATAAAATGTGACAGTGTCACTTGTTACCAGTACACATGTCATACTCTATTGCAGTCAGAGTTTGACGTGATCACGCAACTTAAATACTATATTTTTAGTGTTATGCAGAGTCCCCATAGTTCCTTGCCAACAAGGTAGACGAGATGGTGAGGAAGGATTTGGCACATTTGCCTTCATTGGTCATAGGAGTTGGGATGATGTGTTATGGCTGATCAGGACATTGGTTTGGCCACTTTTGGAATACTGTGTACAATTCTGGTTGCCCTTCTTTAGGAAGGATGTTGTTAAATTTGAGAGGGTGCAAAAAATATTCGCAAGAATGTTGCCGGGACTGGTGGGTTTGAGCTACAGGGAGAGGCTGAATAGGTTGGGGCTAATATCCCTGGAGCATCAGAGACTGAGGGATGACCTTATAGAGGTTTATAAAATCATGAGGGGCATAGATAGGGTGAAAAACAAGGGTCTTTTTCATCGGTTGGGGGAGTCTAAAACTAGAAGACGTAGGTTTAAGGTAAGAGTTTAAAGAAATGAAAGGGACTTGAGGGGTAACTTTTTCATGCAGAGGATGGTGTGTGTATTGAACAAGCTGCCAGAGGAAGTGATGGAGGTGGGTACAATTACAACATTTAAAAGTCATCTGGATGGCTATATGAATAGGAAGGGTTTAGAGGGATATGGGCCAAATGCTGACAAATGGGACTCGGTCAGATTGGGATGTCTGGTCAGCACGAATGATTTGGACCGAAGAGTCTGTTTCCATGCTGTATGGCTCTACGTCTCCGTATACCAAAGAAGAAAGGACATGTTGGCAGCAAAGAACGCCGAAAGGGAAGTAATCCCTTTAAGAAGTTTTATCATCAATGATATTTTAACCCTTACTTACCATGCGACTATTCACATGCTAAGTAAAGGCATCTACCCATAACTGATTGATCAAGTTTGTTTTTTGATTTGCTGATGCTTAATTTCATGTTAATACAGAAATTAATTTTATTCTTACTGTTTTCTCAAAGTAACTGGCCTCCAATATTAAATTTCTGGAGTGTTAAAGTAGAATTTCAGAGATACACACAGAGACTAAGAGTATTTCATAATCCACAGTGTAACAGAGTGTAAACCAAAACAAATGTCCTGCTGTGTATCTAAATGCTGCAAGGGAGAATGAATCTTTTAGCAGTAATTGCTATTATTTTATTCCTCAATGCTTATTTTGTTGATAATCTTTCAAGTAAGATAATATTCTAAATTTATTACTTGGGTTCCACAGGGATCAATGCTGGGACCACAATTGTTCACGATATATATTAATGACTTGGAGGAAGGAAGTGAATGTACTGTAGCCAGATTTGAAGATGACATCAAAATAGGTGGAAAGGGGATTGCAAGAGGGATACAGTTTACAATGAGATATTGATAGGTTAAGAAAGTGGGAAAATAACTTGGCAAATGGTGTATAATGTGGGAAAATGTGATGTTGTTCATTTTGGAAGGGAGAGCAAAAGAACAGAATATTACATAACTGGAGAAAATTTGCAGAAAGCTGCAACATGAAGGGGATTCAGGACACTTACGCACAAAATACAGAAAACTAGCACAAAGGTCCACCAAGTAATCTGAAGGCTAATGAAATTTTGGCCCTTAATTCAAGGGGTTTGGGGTATAAGAGAAGGGAGGTTTTAGTGAAGGTTTTCAAGATGCTGGTGAGCATCTGGAGTACTGTCAGCAGTTTTTGTCCCTTATTTAAGGAAAGATATTATTTCATTGGAGTCTATTCAGAGAAGGTTCATAAGATGATCCCTTGCATGGTGCGGGAATTGTCTTATGAACAAAGGCTAGACAGGTTGAGACTCTATTCGTTGGAGTATAAAAAGTGAATGGTGATCTCATTGAAACATGTAGAATTCTTAAGGGGCAAGACAGGGTAGAAGCTGAGATGATGTTTCACCTCATGGGAGAGTCTAGGACCAGAGGGGTTAGTCTCAGAATAAAGGGGTGCCAATTTAAGACTGAAATGAGGAGGACTTTCTTCTCTCAGAGGATTGGAAGTCTTTTGATCTCCTTGCCACAGAGAGCTGTGGAGGCAGAGCCCTTGTGTACATTTAAGGCTGAGATAAATAAATTCTTCATCATTTGGGGAATCAAGAGTTATGGGGAAAATGCAGGAAAGTAGATATGAGGAATGTTGGATCAGCCATGATCCTATTGAATGATACAGCAAGCTCGAGGGGCTGAACAGTCTACTCTTGTTCCTATTTCTTATGGCCTTATAACGAACTGAGATCAAAACCAATGAAAGAAATTAATGAGTTGTGAAGACTAGTCTATTACCATGAAACATCTTGTTTTCATGAACTTACAGAATAACAAGAAAACAGTTTCATTGTACCCCAACAATTTAAGGTGTATTCACATATTTCTGCTTACAGGAAACACAGATAAAAGACAAATATAGGAAAGGTTGACCGTAGTATAGTTGGCATTTTATAGGTTCAGTGTATGTAGCCGTCAATCAATTCTTTGCTAGATATGAATTGTAAAACATTACTTTGCATTCCACTAGACGACATAGCTTTAGTTTTGTGTAGTTTATTTGAGTATATGCAAAGTAATCATAATTTGAAAGTAAATACACAAACCACTTAACCCAGATTTAAAATGATGTTATAACCAACAGCTATTATTATTTCTATTCAGACCACATTGACTATGAAATAAGATTTTAAATAAAAAGCAGGTGACTGAGGATGAAACTTCAGGCGCACCCAATAGGAATATGTGGAATAGAAGCCATTCCATCACTCTTCACTGTTTCTGCTCTGTAGTTCATCATGTGCTGACAACATTGAGATGAATAGAGTGGAATAAAGCTCTTGCTCAGGTAACAGCTTTACTCCACCCCTCTATCATTGTATACACTGCACCTAATGGCTGTGCCTAATTGCCTGTGGGAAAGTTGCACTGAACCACCTTTCTGAACCACTGCAATCAATGTGGTGGAGATTTTCACACAGTGCTGTTCGAAGGAAGTTCAAAGACTTTTACCCAGCAACATTAGAGGAACGGAGATGAAGTTCTAAATTAGGGTGTTATGTGGTTAAGAAAGGAACTTGCAGGTGGTGTTGTTCTGATGCATCTGCTGCCCTTGTTCTTTGAGGTTGTAGAGGTAATGATTTTGGATGATGCTGTTGAATGAGCTGTTGCAATGCATCTTGTAGATGGCACACACTGCTGCTACTGTACTGGTGGTGGAAGGAGTGAATGTTTTTGGGTGTGGTGCCAATTAATTGGGCTGCTTTGTCCTGGATGTTGTTAAGCTACTTGAATGTTGTTTGTGCTGCATTCATCCAGGTAAGTGGAGAGTTCCATTACACTCCTCACTTGACCCTTCCAGATGGTGAACTGGCTTTGGGGAGTTGCAACGTGAGTTACTCACTGCAGAATTGTAAGCTTCTGACCTGCTTTTGCTGTGTATGAACACAAATTGCTTCAGTACCCGCATCATTGCAAATGATGCTGAATACTGTGCAATCATCAATGAAAATCCCACTTTGGACCCTATGAAGGAGGGAAGGTCATTGTTAAAGCAGCTGAAGATAGTTGTCCTGAGAACAGTACCCTGAAGAACTCCTGAACTGATGTATCGGGACTGATATGATTGGTTTACAACATCCACATTCCATCATGCTTTGTGCTAGGTATGATTGCTACCAGCAGAGGATTTCTCCTGATTGATGCCACACTCGATTAAAAGGACAGTCACTCTGAGCTCACCTCTGGAGTTTAGCTCTTTTATCCATGTTTGGACCAACGCTGTATGTGATAAGGAGCTGGGTGGCCCTGGCAGAACTCAAACTGAGCATCAGCCATGTATTAAATAAAAACTGGATGAACTGTGGATGTGTAAATCAGAAACAAAAACATACGTTGCTGGAAAAACTCAGCAGGTCCAGCAGCATCTGTGAAGCGAAATCAGAGTTAACATTTTAGGTCCAGTGACACTTCCTCAGAACTGATGGTAGCTAGGGAAAAGGTTGCTTTTTATGCAGAAGATAAGGTGGGGTGAAGTGTGTAAGGAGTAAATGATAGGTGGAGATAGAGGCTAAAGAGAGAGAAAAACAGTTGGACAGACAAAGGAATGGATAACAATCAGCCAAGGAAAATGAATGGCTGTTAATGGGGATTGTTGTTGTCTAACAAGGGGTAGTATATAATAGCAAACCATGTGATAACAAGGCCTGGTGTGTGGGAGTTGGGATAAGGACGTGGGAGAAGGTGCCTCAAAGCCTAAAACTGTTGAACTTGATATTGAATCCAGAAGTAGAGTTCTCAAGTGGACAATGAAGTGCTGTTCTTCCAGTTTGTGCTGAGTCTCGCTGGAGTACTGTAGCAAGCCTAAGACAAAGAGTTTGGCCAGGGAACAATGTGGTGTGTTGAAATGACAGGCAACTGGAAGCTCAGGGTCTTTTTTGCGGGCAGAACATAGATGTTCTGTGACATGGTTGCCCAATCCACGCTTCGTTTCCCTAATGTAGAGGAGACCACTTTGTGAGCGGTGAATGCGGTAGACTAGATTGTGAGAAGTGTAGGTAAAGTGCTGCTTCACCTGGAAGGTGTGTTTGGGGTCTTGGATACTGAGGAGGGAGGAAGTAAACGGGCAGATCTTACACCTTATGAAGTTGGAGGGGTAGATCCAGTGGGGCTGTGGTGGGTGTTGAGAGTGAAGGAGCTGAGGACTAGGGTGTTCCAGAGGGAACAGTCCTTGTGAAAGGCTGACAAGGGAGGGGAGGGAATTATGCGTCTGGTGGTGGCATCTCGCTGGAGGTGGTGGAAATGGCAGTTAATGATCCTCTGGATGTGGATGCTGGTGGGATGGTAGGTGAGGACAAGGGGGGCCATATTGCTGTTGTGGAAGGGAAGAGGAGGAGGTATCATGCTAACAGTTTTGCTGGTGTGGTCAGAGCAGAACTGAAGTGTATTACCTTAAAAGTAAAGAAAACACAAACTGTTTCTGTCTTCTCTCTCTGTAGTGTTTGGGATGAGATTTCTGATTAGGCCTGTTACCCTGGACCCATCAGGGAGCCCTGGCTGACAGATATAAACAGGAGTCTCAGAGATTCTCTTCATTCTAGGGACTGGCTCTGAGCTAGCTGGTCAGAGTCCATGTATGTTGCACATGTAAATAAAGGGTGACTTGGTGAAGGAATACCAGTCTCCGTTTTAGTTATTTCAGTGGCAACGAGAGAAAACAGTACGCTCCTGAAGAAAATTCACTCACAACAGTCATCTTTGAGTTGGGGTAAGCATTTCTGGCATTATGCCTTTATTTGGGAAGCTTGACTCATTTGATCCTGCCTTTGAAGACTAGGCCCCGTTTGTGGACAACAAAAAATGTTGAAGGCAGGCTTAAACAAACAGCCTACAGCTTCACTCGATACCAAACTGACCCGGTCCTTGTTTGATTGTAGGACGACCCGTCATGCAACAACAGGGATAGCTCCAGCAGAGTTGCTGATGGGGAGCAGACTGTGCCAGGTTAAACCTGATATTCCAAGACCTGGGGGAAGGGTAAAATGACATCAGAAACGCCAATGCCAGCCACATGTCTCCTCTAAGCGGGAGAGACAATTTACTTCAGAGGACAAAGTTTGGTGTCAAAACCACAGAAATGACCCTGCGTGGGTATGAGGCAAGGTCAACAGGAGGTCAGGTCCGTGACAGACAAAGTTGAATAGGTGAGGCAGTCCTGAACAAACGTGGATCACATGAAAGCTGCTACCTGTCAAAAGGCGCAGGAGTAAAACATTCCCAACACCTCAGAACAACCAGAAAGACTGTCAGAAACCGTGGGTTCTCCCCCTCCACCTAGTGTCAAAGAAAGCTCAGAGTCTGAGATGGATGCAGCCAATGTCGCAGTCCCGATTCTGCTACCACCAGCAGATAAGGACGAATTTCTTCCAAGATGCTCAGGACACAAGACACACGCTACAGTCTGGTACACGCCACCCATGTCTGAGTCAGAGTTGGAGGAACCAGACCTGGTGCAAAAACGTCCCAGGAAGAGCTACAAGAAAAAATAACAGGCCTACATCCATGGACTTGGAGGGTGTGGGGACATAGTGATTTGAACAAGGGCCAGGTGGACCTCATTGGGTATGAGATCCCTGATTGAGGTTGCTAACTTTGGCTAATCAGGGAACCTTTGCTGACAAATATACTCAGGAGTCTCAGAGATTCTCCTCATTCTAGGCTCAGGCTCTGACCTGGCTGGTCAGATTCCATGCACAGTGCACATGTAAATAAAGGGTGCCTTGATGAAGGGATATCAGTCACCATGGAGTTATTTCAGTCAGCCACCTGCCTACCCCCACAACACTTCCCCAAACCTGATCACAGCTTTGCATTTAATTTTGAAATGTAGAAATGACTGAATTTACTAGAGCTATCAAACAAAATGGATAAGCATCGTCGTGATTTGAACCATTTGCTCATATGCTGGGAAACTGAGCGCAGCTTGAACTCTTCTTCACTCCCGTCACCACCTGTTTCACATCGTTCAACCCAGTATGTCATTGGTCAATTTGTTATCAACTCTTATTGTAATGAATTCATCATTCACTAAAATTGTAGCATCCACTGACAGGTGTCTTTTTATTGGGACAATGTTCATTTTCATGACTGCATTTCAATGTGTTTGTTGTATTGATCAAATTAGAATGAAACTAGTTGAACAGCATTCAATTTTGTTTGAGATTTTACAATAATTAATTCCTGACTGGCAGTAGTGTTTTGACACAAAAGCAAAGTAGAACAAAATTATATATTTGTGAGGCATATTGTAAGTTTGGACATTTTTTTCTAGATTAGAAATTGACAAAATATCATTTTTTACATTTTATGTTTTTTTTGTTAGGACTGCAAATGGCAATGGATATTTCAAAGTTATGTTATCTATTTCAGGCAATCTTTAGCGGAAGATGCTAAAAGATATTTTAACGAGGGAACAAGAGTCCTGGAAGCTCCGATGAACATATTGGTAGCAAATCAGGTTACTATTAATTTTTTGTGATGTGCTAAAACAGTGTCCACCCAAAACGTGAATGTTTACTCTTGTCAATTAAATCGTTAAGATTAGCAATTGATCAAAAAATTGCGATACTTCTCAGTGCATTTAACAGTCCATGAACACTGTTGCAAAATCAGTACAAAGCAATTGTAATTTTGCAGTGACTCTTTCTTTGCAAAGTACGTCTCTAAGGCTCAAATTGACTTTGAAATTAAGTATACTCAAACTCCTGCCTCCAGGGAGATACCCTCCTCCATACTCCATGATATGGCTACAGCTACGTTGGAAGTGAAGTAGTTGGTACAAAGTAAAACATATCTTTCACCACAGAATGACTTACATTCTACAACATGGAAACAGGTGTTTTACCCAATCAATCAGTTTATTCTGCATACACGCCATATTTCTACTCCCATATTGCAACCTGTTCAGATATCCCTCTATCCCCAATCTAACTTGTTCCAAGTATATATTTTCAACTTGTTTCCTAAATTGCTTGTAAATTGCTTATCAACTAAAAATCAGATAGATTCTATAAATGGTAGGCGATCTATTCGTCCTGGCCACTCCCCAAGCAATTAAGACAAATATCTGCCTTTGGTCAGTCTCTGCTTCAGCCAATAATACCAACAGTAAATTCCACAATTCAACCCACTTCAGTGTATTGATCTTTGTAATTTAAAGGTGGCCAATAGGGCTAACATATGTTGTCCATCCTTAATTGTCTTTGAAAGTGATGCTGCACTGTCTTCGTGATCCTCTGCTGTTCATATCATGTAGGTGCACTCACAATATTGTCAAAGAGGCAGTTCCAGTATTTTAACCTGCTGACTTTTTGAAGCACTGATAATATGATTCTAAGTTAGGATGCTTAGTAACATGGAGTGAAACTTGAAAGTAGTTGATTCCGATGTGCCTGTTGTCCTTTCCCTTCGAGATGAAAGAAGTCACAGGTTTGGAAAGTGCTGTTGAAGGAACCTTGGCAAGTTGCAATGCAATCATCTTATTTCTGATTTCTTGTTCTTAATTTCTAACATCTCAACTTGTATCTTGGTTTCCTTGTTCTAAGTCCCTCAGACACAATAAAGTCAGTTTTCATCTGCTGTGTTCTATTTCTTCATAATCTGCTAAGTCTCTATCAAATCATTCCTGTTTCCTAATGATAACAGAGATAACAAGGTGTAGAGCTGGATGAACACAGCAGGCCAAGCAGCATCATAGGAGCAGGAAGGCTGACGTTTCGGGCCTAGACCCTTCATCAGAAATGGGGGAGGGGAAGGGGGTTCTGAAATAAATAGGGAGAGAGGGGGAGGCAGATAGAAGAGGGATAGAGGAGAAGATAGGTGGAGAGGAGACAGACAGGTCAAAGAGGCGGGGATGGAGCCAGTAAAGGTGAGTGTAGGTCGGGAGGTAGGAAGGAGATAAGTCAGTCCAGGGAGGATGGACAGGTCAAGGGGGCGGGATGAGGTGAGTAGATAGGAAATGGGGGTGCGGCTTGAGGTGGGAGGAGGGGATAGGTGGGAGGAAGAACAGGTTAGGGAGGCGGGGACGAGCTGGGGTGGTTTTGGGATGCAGTAGGAGGAGGGGAGATTTTGAAGCTTGTGAAAACCACATTGATACCATTGGGCTGCAGGGTTCCCAAGCAGAATATGAGTTGAGGTTCCTGCAACCTTCGGGTGGCATCGTTGTGGCACTGCAGGAGGCCCAGGATGGACATGTCATCTGAGGAATGGGAGGTGGAGTTGAAATGGTTCGCGACTGGGAGGTGCAGTTGTTATTGCGAACTGAGCGTAGGTGTTCTGCAAAGCGGTCCCCAAGCCTCCGCTTGGTTTCCCCAATGTAGAGGAGGCCACAACGGGTACAGCGGATGCAGTACACCACATTGGCAGATGTGCAGGTGAACATCTGCTTGATGTGGAAAGTCTTCTTGGGGCCTGGGATGGGGGTGAGGGAGGAGGTGGGGGGCAGGTGTAGCCCTTCCTGCGATTGCAGGGAAAAGTGCCGGGTGTGGTGGGGCTGGAGGGGAGTGTGGAGCGGACAAGGGAGTCACGGAGAGAGTGGTCCCTCCGGAAAGCAGATAA